TGCCTAGGGACCTGACAAAGAGGATTAAAGCACCAAGGCTATTAATGTAACTATTTTGCTAGTATTTCATCCTCCTCCCCTGCTTCTTCAGTACATCCCTGCTGTTGTCCTTCAACACTAGAGTGGCATTATGGGCTGTCTGGCTGGAGGTGGGATAGTCAGCCCCACACTGTGTGTGCTCTATCAACAGCCATAAGACTCAGCAGCGCAGCAAGGGATTCTACCTGCCTGTACCTCACAGATGCACCAGCATAGCGGGTGTCTCCTCTCTCAGTGGACGGGAGCAATCAGTAATGCAATAGGGACATCTGACTTGGACATACTTGTAGCGCTCAGTAGAAGAGCAAGGATTGTCTACCTGCTGTATCTGAGACACTGAACAACACAGCAAGGGGCTCTGTAAGGGCAAAATGGGAACATCTGACAGGAATCAAGTGGTTAAATACAGCTTTCCTCAGATAAGTTGTGTACGTGTATTTAATATATGACTGGCTTTTCATAAACTAGATTTAAATAAGAGCCCAACAAAGTAATTTCAGAATGTTTGACAATCTGTCAGGGTGTAAGAAACATACATTCTACTTGACAAATTCAATTTTTTATTTTTAAATTAAGGGAAAAACAGCATGGCACCTAGCCAGCATGCTTCCGTTCCTGGTTTATGAAACAGTTCATGGCTGAATCGATCAACAGCTCAAGGTCTGATTTGCCAAAATATTGTCTATTGTTATTGTAGAAGAGATAAAAAGTGTGTGGAGGTCACGTGAATGCTATTTGAGCCTAGACTGCTAATGCAGGGTGTGTTTCCAAGCCTGGGTTAATATGTTTATTGCATCAGGTCTCTTCATTTGATTCTATTAATGCCCTTATAGAGGGTGTAGGTTTTAGGGACCTGAAGGCAAAGAAGTGGGAGCACCTATGGTAGCATGCCTCTCAGCACTAGTTAGAAAGAACAGTGATGCAAGAAAATATCCTGTATCATATCCTGATACAGCATACCACGTATGCACAGTAGCCTCTAGAACACCAGTCCCGTCGTCTTGTATATCTTATATCCTTGGTCATCACGCCGCTGTAAAAATAAGCCGTAGTTTGTCCCCCAGCTGATGCTCCCCAGGCCATGCTCTTGTGCAACAACAAAATGAAAGTCAGGATGGATAGGGATGTCTCCAGAGAAACAAATTTCTGATTAAGCCTGCCTGTTCCCCATCTCTCTGCCCCAGGTGCTCTGTACAACACCAGCCTCATATTAAACCAGTGTAACCCAGCAGTTTCCAGTGGCCTGTTTCTGACCCAGAAGGTATTATCTTCCTGTCCAGTAGCTGCAGGAGCCTTGGGTCACTTCCAGCAGCATCTGAAAATCATTTTTAGTGTCATGACTTGTGGTTTTACTTTCATTTTGACCATTTCACTACTGCAGAAAATTAAATTATTTCAGGGGGGATGACATTATTAGGAGGGGTAAACCTCTACATAGACATTCACAAATGGAAGATCATCTCTCCTCCACATTCATATACATTAATTTTGTTTTAGCGATCACTTATGATAAGCACTGTGCTTGAACGAAAGAAAATGAAAATGACAGGTTTGTTAGAGAAAAGAACATCCAAATAGAAAAAGCAATATCTCCTTATTAAAATATATACATTACTTGGCTACGCATAATTTTGACAGGGGAACTCATTTCTCTATTTAATATAAATGAAACATTGACAGTTAACTGGGTATTTTACACAGTGATATTTCAATTGCATTTCATAAAACTCAGGCTGGCTCTGGAATGAATAATTTATCCAATTAGAGTTTTTTTTCCCCCCTATTTTTAATGGAACCTGGCTCTCCTCTTATCTGTCTCACTGGTTTAAAAATTGAAATAATCCTATTAGAAACCAAGTGAGCGCAAAACTGGTGTCAATTTTTTGAGAATTGGGAGGAAAATATCCTTGGGTTAATCACAGGTTTCCAAGCTGATTTTTGTTATTTGGACTTCATTTAATGCTAATGTCTAAAAATTGAATGAATTCTGCAGTTCATTGGTATAGACTCGAGACAGGAAACGTGAAGCTTGGCTGTGCCTGGTCCCTTTATTCCAGTGATAGTGATTCTGGTGTTACATTTGTTGTGTTCTTTGGACTAATTTTGCTTTAGCCTCTAAATTACTTTCAGATGCAATTCAGTGGGGGTACACATGGGTAAGAACAGGCTGAATTCTGTTTTGGAGGTGAAGAATCAGTGGAAATGTGAAAATAACACAGGAAAATATTGTTTAAACATTTTAAATTCTTGTATCAGCTTTCTACTTTTAATACACAAATCAGTAATACTATGGTTGCTAGGTACCTGGCATGAGGACTTCTGTCTTCTTCTTATCACTTTGTTCACAAGGAAAATTTTTTAGATTATTTCATCCAGGGAGACTGTTAACCTTATATCATTCTAATGCAATGCTATAGCTGAAAGTATATCTATCTATCTATCTATCTATCTATCTATCTATCTATCTATCTATCATCTATCTATATATATATCTGTATAATGCTTCTGAACGAAGGCTTACAAATCTTATAGCTATACAACATCTCCATGAGGAAAAATTCAAGATTTCATAGGTAGGGAACACATAGGCTTAGACATATGTGGTTAATATATTACTTAGTGTCAGTTGATGCATGGTAATGGTTTCTGCATATGCTCATAAAATGTGAAATAATTGGACTGAGTGCTCTTTTAATGCAGGTAAAATGATCCTGAATTATCTTCCCTTTGCTATGGGCTAAAAGTATGTACACATATTTACTGGAGATCAGATGACAATCTCTAACTTGTTTGTGTGTCTGAGCCTTGGAGCACAAGAAAAGAAAATTACTGGTCTGAGTTTGTGCGGCACCTGCAGAGAGCCCAGAGGTCCTGCCTTTGTGCTTACAATCTGCTCCATCCTCCCCACAAGAACATTAACTGTGGCACTAGTAGAAAGCTGGAGTCATGAGTTTAATTTTCATTTTGTTTAAGGATCACATAAACCTAAGTGCACAGGGGAAACAGCAATGACATCAATATAAACTAACAAGCTAATCTTCAAACTGGGTTGTCAGTGTACTATGAATGGAAAGGGAGAATCTGTATGTTTAACTTCTGGCCTCTATCTCTGTGTAGGTTTCCTAATTTATTCAGCCTGTGTGTGTTGAGGCGGGGGACCTATTCTTAGAACCTGACAACGAAATTGGAAATTCAACAAAATCTGGAAGAAATGGCTATGGAAAGGTGAAAAATTAGAAGCCTCTGAGATTTATAGCTGAGAATTTGGTTTCGAAGGGGTTTTATTGTACATCTTACATTAATGTAAACATCGCTGTCACTTTTGGGGCCTTTCATTAGCATCTTATGTTTTAATCACTCTTCTTATTGTGCCTTGTTTTCAAATCAAATGCAAGTTCCAGAGCTTTCTGTTATACATTTGTACTCTCTGGGCACAACCAAGCTAACTACCCCAAAATTTTAAAGAAGAGATGTTTTTCCCACAAGCTTTGTTGTAGGTGTTCTTTTCCTTTTTGGGTTGACATATTTGCAGTGAAATTTTTGTAATTTCCATAGGAAAGGAGTCCATATACCTTATTTTCTTATTCTGCCTAGTTGTATGTAGAGCATCTTATCCATCAATCAATGGTCCTCATGGCATTCTCTCTGAAGGGACTAATGTGTCTCCACAATTATGGCAAAGGTATTTTAATCTGGTTTATTTTATAACTTGGTAGTGACATCCTGGGACCCTGCTGGCACACACTGAAACCAAGGAATGTCATGCTTGTGCCACTTGTTCGCACATTGCTGGGCTGAGCTGGGGTGGATTTGTCTTACCATTTGCCCAAAGCACTTAATCAATGAAGGTTCTGTAGTGTGTAATGATCATTACATGAAAATAGTTCTTGGCCAAGATTGGAGTGTTTTTTTCACCATTTAACTTCTTCTTAGAAGATTAGGGTCTTATCTCCAGTCTGTGATTGCTTCATTGAGATCAGCAAAGAAAAACGTGAGTACATTGGCTGTCCAGGATGTCTGTGTGTGGGTACTGAGTTCTGTAAGCATCTGCTTTGTGCCCAGAGACCCAAAGTTCATGCTACTGCTTCAGAAATCCTTAGTTATTCATTCAAAGGGGAAAAGCTCCTACTGGAGTGTCTAAAAAGTCCCACACTGGAACAAAGTACTTTTTCAAGAGGTAAAAGACTGAAATTAATGTCCCCAAATTGAAAAGACAATATCTAGCCTTTGTCATCTGCATATATAGAAATTGTCTCCACTGTTAGCCTTCAAACCACCCTGGAGTGATGTCTCTCTGAACTAAAAATGCCATTCTGGTGCAAAGAAAGCTGAAGTGAAATTACTGTATCCCTGAAAGATATTTGCATTGGACTAGTTGACATCTTCACATTGAAAACGTTTCACTGGAAAATCCTCATCTAAACCCTCTATTCAACTTCTTTATCTGCTCCTTCTTCTTTACCAAGCCGAAGCAAAAGGTGGATTCTGTGCTCCTAAGAAATTTGAGCTACAACTGTACTACAGCGTGTCTGGTGCACCGGGGAGTAAACTGGGCTCTGAGTTACTATACTTATGTACAGAGATAGGAACACGTGAATCGCTCTAGAGGCCCTTGGAGCAAACTCTCCCCAAGATAGCACCTTGCAGAGGTGGCTTTCCTCCCTGGCCTTTGCCTTGCAGCCACAAGATGCCCCTCTGTGGGCACCCCACCCTGCGGGGCACTGCCTATGGCCGGAGTGGCTGCAGCTCGGGACAACCGTTGGAGTTGGAAGCTGAAAACCCTCTGTGAGCCTCCGTGAACCCTCCCCACCTGTCCCTCATGCCAGGTGTATCTTCCGTTCGTTGTCAGCGCTCGTTAAGACCGAGGGCATCTCTCTGACTCGCCCTGCCTTCTCCATGTCTCTTATTTCACTGGAATGGAGTCAAATGGAGAAGAGTCCACGCACGGTCTGGAACGGATCAGCAGGTCAGCTGGGAATGCCTGTCAGGCAGCCAGCATGCTCCCTCGCTTCTCCCTGGCTTTCTTTGAGGTTTGTAGCTCTTCTGCTTTCTTGTTGCTATTGCCACCCTCCCCACACTCCCCCTGCCACACACCAAGCACCCAGACCTTTCCTGAGCACTTTACTTAATCCCCAGGATTCTTTATATAGGAATTAATCTTCTCGTCACAGAGGGAGAGCTCGGAGGGAGGGGGTACATTTATCTCTCCTGCTGAGGTCTAGAGTTGCATTGCTGTGATTATTGGTGGTAGCAGTGTGCATGTGTCTGGGGATCTGTGTTTAGCTTCTTCGTTTCTTAAACGGCACAGGGGCAGCAGCAAGTTGGCAGCTTTGCTTTCTAGCTGCATTGTGTTTGCTGCTAGAAAGAGGGAGTGTGTGTGGGGAGCAGCATGGCAGAACAAGAAGCCAGTGGCTTGCAAGTCCTTCTCTCCACCCTCCAGGTAAGAACAGCTTGAACTAATGAGAGAGGCGCTTGGGCTTGTTTTTCTCTTTAATTCACCAGCAGCAACTTGTTGGGCTGAGGTTGTTCGTACGAGCTCCCTGCTGGCTTGTCTCTAAAAGCATCAGTGTGCAGGAGTCCTGACCTGCACCTCCCACCCTAAAAAGCCTTTATGAAATTAAGTTTCACTATTTGGAGATGAACGCTGGCAATTACTGCTATGCATCAATCACCGTCTGAGCGCAGAGTCTCAGCTCCCGAGATCTCGCTGTGTTCAGCGGGGAGCGAGGGAGGTGTGAGGAATCGGCTGCTTTGCAATGAATGGGACCTGACAGCGCTGTCAGTCTGCGAGCTCGGCAAGACCCAGCAGCGCACACTGCTACTCCGAGGGCTGAGGGGACGAGTAAACACATCTGCTTGGAAGCAGCATGCTTCTCCCTGTCAAAATATCTTCACCAGGACCCTTAAGCACTTACAGGGAAGTGACAAAAACTTGAAGATGAGATCGGTGAGGCACTGGTGTTGGGTGTGCTCAGTAAATACTCCCGAGAAGCAGAGGGAAGTGTCCCAGTCCAGGATCATACTTGTTGGACAAGTTCAGCTACAGGAGGAAGGAGAGGTATCTGTTCCTCTGCCTACAGGCGAGCTCCTCGGTTCTGTTTTCCCCCAGCATGGATGTGCTCCTCCTGGTCTTGCAGGAGAAGATGTCTAAGCAGAGGCATGAGCTACCCAGTGAAATGGGGTGTGTGTTTTGGGAGGGAACCCATGCTTCCATGAGCCATCGTTTTGTCACAAGGGGTGGGCAGGAATTGCTTCGCCAAGACAAGCTGCTTGTATAAAAAGCATCCTTTAGATAGTTACGGTGAAATGCCAGTTGTTTGTGTTTCTCAGGTGCCCTGAGCCCCTGTGTGCCGTTGTGCTGATGTGTGCCAGAGCCCCACGGGGATGGGACTTTCACATCTGAGGCAGGAGCATCCTCTGACTGCTACCTGTGTTGTCAAAACCTCACATGTTGCAGAAGAAGAAAATGAGGGATAGAGTGTGTAAACCAGACTTATCTTCCTGGATCAGCCCAAGGATTCATGTCTCTGACAACCTCAAGTGTGTAAAGGAGGCTATAAAACCCCATGATACGCAATTGGCTTCAAAACTGTAGTTGTGGGGGCTGATCAGCCTTGACGTTTTTATCCAAGTTTATGTAACTGTCAACAACTTCTCCTTCTCATGTCATCATCAAACCCTGGTTGCCCTCTGTAGCACCCTGTGACAGTGAGTTCAGCACACTGAAGAAAATTGTCCTATTGTCCTTTTACTTTTTTTGGCAGTGTAACTTGCTTGCCCTATGTTCTTACAGATTATTTAATGCATATTTTGTACTAGGTCATGTTTTTGCTGTATCCGTATTATAGTCCTCTCCTTATTACTTTGGATAATTGAGACCTGAGTGTACACCTCCTGATTTTTCTTATGCTCTCTAACATTAATGGTCGTGGTGCTCTCTGTATAATCTGGGAACAGAACTGGACAAGGCCCAGGATTAAAGTGGAAGCTGTAGTTTAAAATCACATATACAATTAATTGACAAAGCTACATGGTGGTCTAGACTAGAAACAGTTAGGAACACTGCAGGTGAAATGGGTTGTGGCACTGGTAAAATCACAAGGTATCACAGCATTTATCCCTAGTATTACAAAATCTAACCTTGGTACCTGACCCTTGTTTCCAAAAGTTCTGTATTTAATTAGAGAAGAGCTAAAGGCTTTCTTGTTTTATCTTCAATAGATGCATGAGTTTGAGTGTTAGAGGACAGGAAGCTAAGTGGCTGATGACAATTACAGCACTGGTATGTTCTGATTCACCTCCTTCCCCTACCTCCAGTCAAAACATTACTGGCATAACTGTAGCACCATCACCTATCTCTGCTACAAAAATTGGGTGATAAAAAAGACCTTAACTTGACACAGTTGGAAAACACTGGTCTGGGAAATAATAACTTTTGTTGATGTTTGCATTTGCTGATAACACCTCTCCACACTTCGTTATTTTCTGCAACATCTGTCCAAAACATGGTTGCTTTGTTTTTGTGTCCTGCTGAATTGTCAGTGCTGGTTCATATTCTTTTATTGAGCATGAAGAACATGTCTGCTGCATACAGAAGGTTATTCTCCAGGATATTATTGTGTATTTTCCATTTCTGTTAGCACATAATATTGCTTTGTATGCAGAAAACATTCAGGTGAAGAATGAGGGAACATTCAGCCACCAAGCCGGTCATTATGAGCATCAGAATAAAAACATCGTTCCTCCTTCAGTCACTCACACGAGGCTAAATTTTTACTTCCCTTCCAAACACTGGAGCAGATTATTATTCTCAGTCAGAGGAATGTCCCCTGACATAGGGTCTATCACCTTCAGCCAGGGGAGTGATCTACCTCATCTCCTCCTGGCTCTTTTACTCCTAGTCTCACAGCCTGGCTTTGGTAAGGATGGTATCAAGCAGAACAAATCCAGAACACCCTGTGCTTTGTAACTGAACTCCTGCTCTTGTCAAGGAAAGAAACACATTAGGTTTCTGAGTTCTTCAAAGCTGTTCCCAATGCGACAAAGGAGAGTGATCCTCCAAAGACAGCTCAAACCCCTGAAAGTGCAACGTGTTACAGATGTTCTGAAAAGTGACAAGGTGAAAAGCAAAAACTGCTTTCAAAGCGCAGCTGCATTTTGTCACCCAAATGTCACTGCAGGAAAGATGTGACATTTCAGATCTCTAGGTAAAAAGTGCTTCATTGCTTACAAGGTGCAGCTTTAAAATGTGAATTTCAGATTTAAGAAAAACCTCTCCCTGTCACAGGTTTTGTGTCAGTATGACAGAGTTGAGCACTTAGGAGTTTACTGTAGTTTCTCATTTTGCTTCTAACCCTGTTGCTTTCTTCTTTGCTCTCTCTTCTTGACTCTACCCCTCCAATGTGCTCCTACAATTAACATCTCCCATCCCTCTGTCTTGGATAGTGTTACCCCGTTCTGTTCCCAACTCTTACTGCACGACATGAGCCTCCTCACCTCACATCCAGCTCTGCTCTGTCTTTCATGCCCAGACAGTGTGGTATTTAGACCAAGGCTGGGCTGGTTACTACTCCTCACCCTGCTCCCCGGACACAGCATGGCAGAAATAAATGTCCTCCCTATGTATGGTTAATGATCAGCAAAAAAAGTCTGACATTCCATTTTAGTCAGCCTCCCTAATGCAAAATCCCAGACAGATTTGGGATTAGATGTCTTGTTTATTTTAATGCCAGGAGGAGGTATCTGGGTGTTAGTTAAAAACAGCTGTTAGTTGCTAAGAAGAACAATAGAAAACTGAAGCCAGCATCTTTCATTGTGTCCCAGACTACTGGATCCCTTGGGACTGTAGAGCATCCTAGTTCTGACTCTTGGTTGTCCTGGGCCTCGTCTCACTCCATCTTCTAACCAGTTAGCTAAATAAGAAGCATTTTTATTCTTCCTCTGCTTTCTCCCTGCTCTCTTCCTTGCTTGCCAGGCCTAGACGTGAGCCTGCCTTGGTTACCCCTGAGAACATCTCCTTATTCCATGGCAGCGTGCATTGTGTTGCCTGAGGAGTCCCAGATTTCCTGCTGGCTCTCAGCATGGATTTCACAAGCTTCCTGAAGCCACAGTCCCCGTTTACATATTCTGCAAAGCTGGCAACCCCTGGGGCCATTGGCAGATCTTTGGCTCAAACTATGTCCTACTATGTTGGACTGCACATGTTCCCAGATGCTATTGTTTGGAAGGTAAGAGGTGAAAATCTTATGTATTGATGGAGAATATTGTTTGTGTAAAGGGATTCTCATCTGAATGGCTGTGGTGCCCAGCAAGCAACATATGCAGGGTCCACTGTTTGCTAACTTGAACCTCTCCACTCCTTTGAGCTGCCTCTTTCGGGCTGTTTTGCTGGCTGGCTGACAAGGCAGTTCTATTGTTATCCTAAAGACAAGTGGGAAGATAACATTGCTGCTCTGGTGACAATGAATATAAAAGTATTTTGCAAAATGCTTTTGTCTCCTCTGCATCCTTGCACTTATTCTGTCAGCAGAGCTGCTGAGATTCCTGGCTTTGAGCAAAATAGATGCAAAAATCCCAGGAACTACTCAGCAAGCAGTATGCCCACTGGTTTGGGCTGGGGATAGAAGCGCTTGAAATTTGGATCTGTGCTTTTGGGAGACAGCTTGGCAGGCAATGCTTAGTGGAATAGCCTTAGAGGGGAAAAAAAAAAAAAGACTCAAAACCAGATGGCCAATTTTATGTGGTTCATTAACTGAGTTTTACTGAGATTGTTGTACCTAAAGTGAACAGCAGTGGACTTAGTGTCCTCCTATTCCTTATAAAAGTATTGTAGCTTTGGAACAGCAAAAGCAGTGCAGTTAGGGCAGTGAGACACTTGGCTGTACAGTTCAAGGGGAAAACCTTCACAGCGAAACACTGGATACTCCAGCATTCTTTGTGTCTCTACTGCCAATGCCACTTAGGCTGCATGAGCCTGTTTTTTGCTTTAATTGTGGAAGAAAAAGAATAATTCTCTGCAAACAATCCTATA